GTGTGAGAGAGAGCATAATTTACCACCACAGAAGAAAGAACACTAAGGTGCAAACTTTACACAGTTTTCCAATATGAAGTACCCTAGTTAAATTGAAGACTCAAATCTGCCTTCTACGCTTCAAGGCAATGCGTTCAGGGTAGTTATCCTGCTCAGGATAAGAGATATCAGGTACAAATACCGAATTATTGCTAATTTCATGATCATAACAAGAACGGAGGCCTAAGCCTCTTTGCCAGTGAATCCCTGAGGCAGTTGGAGGAGAGGGGGTCTTCAGCTTCACATCAGGCACCTGGAAAAGGTACTCTTCCATGCCTATATCTTCATCAGCAGGATAAGAACTTGGAGCCCAATTGCTCTCTCCAAAATTTGATGCATCAGCCTGGTAAGATAATTGAACCAATAAATAATTGAGTGCTATTATTTCCTTTCATAAAGAACAGCTTTATATAAATAAAAAATAGAAGACTTTCAGAACATGAAAAGCATTTCACTCCAGCTATGCAAAATGTAATGACGGTTGTTTTAACAATTGAAGCATAAAATCAATCAGGGTTCTAGCTAAAAAGCCCAGGAAGTGTTGAAAAAACTTACCGGGTATTAAAATGATGATAATGAATAGTTTCCTTTAGGCAAAAACCAAAGTAATGAGATCCCCAAAGGTCTATAAAAAGATGCTAGACGAATCAATGACATGGTAGACAATATCAAGGCCTGAAGATTCTATTTCTTGGATGAAAATGTAGGTAGTTAAAAGGAGGATTCATATTGAAGGCCCCAGTGGGTTTAAGGTCATAAACCATCTCAAATTGGGTCAAGAATAGTGACTAAAAGCTTTAAAACAAATAGAGGAAATGATGATGGACAAAGAAACAACAATATTTCAAAAGAATTTAACCACAACACTAGCAGGGTTTAATAAAGTTAGCGACAGGGCTGGCAATGGGCAGGGACTAGACCAGGCCAGCCTTGGCGTGAGCCCAGCCAGGATCCCAATAGGACTAGCCGGGGCCCAGCCCGGACCAAAGTGACTCTGGCCCAATCCAGGCCAGGCCTGGCCTAATAATTTATTTCTTTAAAAGAATAATAATAAGGAGAAACATTGGGACAGGCTCGGCCAACAGGGCCATTGCCAGCCCTATTTCATGACTTATTGCAACATAAAAAACCCAAATTTTAAGTAATGAACACAATAAACCTGGGAAGTTCAGAGAGTGCACGCCAGGGCGATGGAAAATTTTGAAAAGCAAAAAAAGATGGATGTAGGTAGGTTGAGGGTAAATTAGCATATTTCCTTTTTGTTTTGTTAAACATCTAGAATGGCCAAATAAAGTAGGGCTGCACCAGACATATTCTAGGATGGTAAGGAGGATGGGGGGCCTAGGATGCACAATAAATTTTGGAAGACAGGATTGGAAACAAAGCAACAGATCCCTAATCCTCACACAGCATCCAAGTCTATCATCTGCCTAAATGATTTTTGTTGACAAAATCAATTCATACATCATATTAAAGATTTTATCCAAACTTAGGTCAATACAGAGCTTTCGTTAATGAATCATGAGCATCTTAGCATCTCAAGGAAAGGAGTCAAAAGTAGTCCATGTGTTAGTCCAAGGTGCTCTTTCCTAAAATTTTCATGCTTTTTTTTAATGGTAACTATTTCATACTTAGTTATTAGGTCCAACAAAGCACCCACAGATTAATTTGAGCAATCTACGGTTACATATAACCTTTCGAGGTTAGTTAAGGCCCCATGTCCCAAGGTTTGCTGAAGGGCAACGAACACAAGGGCAGTGGTCTTCACGGTAACAACAGCAATTTGCACTATGGAGCACTTAGAAGGTACCATGGAGGGCACAAAATACAATTGGGACGATTGACTTGAGGTTACTTACCCATGGTAACTTTATTATTTTGGCACTCTGAAAACAAGGAGTCTGGTACAATGCCAAGTATTGTTCTATGAATCCCACACAATACTCATATACCATTTGAGAGGCCAAGGGATGACCGAGGCTGCTTAATACTGCGGCTGCGTACCACTCAAGTATTATTGAAATTAGGAATAATGGGGGATTAGCTAGGATAAAGCTCGGATGATGATGATAATAATGATGTGTAATGGGAGAGTGGCTTTGATTCTTCTTCCTGAAGAGTTCAATGGGATTAGTTGAACCAAGTAAATGAATTTTAGTAACTTTTTCAAGCACAAGCCGTGCAAATTATGGGGTACCTTTCTCTGGCAGAGAACTGTCCACGTACTCCTCACACAAACTACCGAAGCTGTTGAGTAAGGGAATTGAATACCGGTGGATCAAAAAATAATTATACGACAAAAACATTTCCCATGATAAGGATATTAAACACCTTTTTAGGGTGGCAATTGGACTCATTTTCCTAAATAATCAGGATTGCTTTAATAGGGATGCTAAATTTCTCAACAACACTCAAGTTGGACGGAACATTTACCTGCATACTAGTGAATAGTTTAGGGAAATGTTTGTAATTAAAGAACAACAAAATAAAGGACCTATTCTCCGGCAACATAACCTGATTTGAGATCAGCTTGATATGTTGTGGTGCAACAGATACCGTACTTGCACAATCCGTCTATTTAATTATTTCATCCAAGTCACAAGAACATGACCCACAATGACATTTGTCAGGGAGTGGAGGAACTTGGGGATCTGCATTACGCTATATAACATCCATTGCAAGGTCTTGATTTTTTGTCTTAATACTTTATTCACCATCAGACAAATGATCACAGTTACAAGATTCTTCAAAATCCTAAAAGAACTGGGTTTTCCATAGTCCTCACAACCTAAGTCAGGGATTCACTTTAGTACAGAGAGAGTTGGAATACGATGCAACGCACTTCCAAAAAGAGAGAGCTAGAATAAGTAAACAGTGCTACACAAAAAACACGTTCAGTGTCCCATTAGTGACATAGGAAACAACCATCTTGCATCAATACAGTACAAGAGTGCAATATGCAGTGGCACCCCTCAGTGGTCTGGAAAGAAGGCAATATTAGTGCAAACCTCCTGCATTATACTACTTGAATATGGGTCACAACATGATTTAGGGGCGATGACTTTCCTGCTACCATTGAAACCCATGAATTACTTGGGAGGTTATCATATCATATGCTATATGAAGAAAACTCCAATGTAGTGGTTGCAATTCCTTAGAAACCTTGCACTTCTTCTCCAATGGTTTACAACATGGTTTGACTATACAAGAACTGCAATGAAAACTTTCCCAGTATATGCAATTTGAACTCCATTGAGCAGCTTTCAAAAATAGTACTCGTTATCCAATTTGGTCATTGCCTAAACCAACTCGATTTGCAGAATTAAACCGTCAATGCAAACAAACTCAGGCATATTTTCCAATCTCTTGTGTGAAAGAAAAAAAGAATAAAAGAAAGAAAACCTCTATAACGGGATTCGAACTGGACTTGTACCCATGTCACAAACCAATCCTAGCACCTTGGGAAACACCTTTTTTATGCCAAAACAATCTAAAAATTATAACGATACCAAAACACTCGCATATTTGTAAAACTCACCACTAAATTAGGTAAGTTGGCTTTGACGAGTTTATCTAGCTCAGAATTAGTATTCATTTACCGTCACCAGGTTCATGGAGGTTCTCAACAGAAGCCATTTTGAGTTTAGCTATGTAATACAGAATATGGCTGTTGGCTTAAGATGATGTATTCAACTAGAAATAGAGTTAGCTTTCCCCATAAAAGCTAACACAAAAAACCTGTATTGGATTTATGCAGAAAGAAAGAGAATGAGAGGACATCTGAATATGATTTACTTCTGCTATGCGACTGACAAAAAGCTAATATGGGATACCATATTAAGATAGACACCAAAGGAGCAACATTCACACTAGATGAACTCCAAATCATTTTGTGTAACTGGTACAAATGCAATATTTCATGATACTAGAATACGATCAACTCATACAATAGGGTCAAGGTGAGCTTCCTCTAGCCACTAGACAGTCATATTCACTGGAAAGAAAATGCAATCCTTTTGCATATAAAGAAAAGCTCCGAGGTCCTTTTCATGTACTTAACCCTTACAACATTTTGCTCTAATACTCTAGAGTATTTGTTTGAAGATATGAGATTTCTCTCAAGCATCTGTATGATTTCGATGAGGTTCCCGATAATGTGTTGTTCATGATATCCATGTAAATAGTTGCTGAACATTTTGTGGCATTGTAAATGCAACGGAGTTATGAGATTATGCACAACCATTCTAAGAAGCGCTCAAAATAGATATATAATAATCTCGTCAAATAGGACAAATATATTATTCTCCAATATGATGAAAAGAAAAAGATTATACAAGGCTACAGGCTTACACTGTAGTAAAAGCCCCTGTGGGAGATAAGGGTCTATTGGACCCCAAATTTCACACACATGCAGATCTCATCTAGGCCAACAAAATAAAACAAAAAAAAAATGCAAAAAAGAGGGAAATAATCCGCCATTTTTGGTGAACGAAGGCTGTCCATTTGGTGGACGATAAAACTCGGCCTCCAAGGACTCAAAATCATTTTTTTTAATTTTTTATTTTACTCTATTTTTTATCTTCTTTGCAAAGCCTATACAGTAGAAATTGTTCGGTATCCAAAAAAGATACACATACTAATTTCTAAAAAATCGCAAATAGCTCTGCCCGTTGAAGAAGGGCAACACAGATTATAATCCAGTCGACTATGGAAAGTTGAAAACTATAGTCAACTAGAGTCCTCACCATCCAAAGAAATGGTGAATAGTAGCAGAAAAAAGCAGGAGCCACCGGAATCAACTGTGCCCCAAATAGTGGATCATGGACTCTCTCTCGATCACTATGCAGCACACTTCATTGGAAAACACTGACCCCAATTGCAATGGTTTCCACTGCACCAAATATATTTATACATACGTCGCCTAAATGGGAAATTTTTAAAAAAGAAAAAAAGGATAAAGAAATATAGTATCTACCTTAGGAGACCCTGAGTATACAAGTCCATAACTTTGGCTGATATCCGGCAGGCTGAGAATCTCATCTAAAGGCCAACTTGGTAAGCATTCAGCAGGCTGTCCACCTGAAAAGGAAACCCTATTCAATGCCAAAGAACCATTTCCACCAATTTCCCGACTGAATTGCTCCTTATTAACTCCACTTGAAGAAATTTCGAAACTTCTTCTTGCATTAGGCTTCTTGGTTGAAGATGGACTATTTGGCACAACAGGTGAAATAGGCTCAGCGGGCTCAAGCCCAACTTTTACACCAGTAAGCAGGAACCTCTGATGGGCCGACACATAAGGGCTGGTTGAGTGTATAGCAACATCACATTTTCGGCAAAGCAACGCACGGTCCTCCAAGCAAAAGAAAAAACCCGTTGTCTCCTGTAAAAGGTGAAAATAAAAGGGATCACATTAATACCCGATGGAAAAGGCAGAGTATAGTCATATTCCACTGGGTCCAGCAATGTAAATTTAAAGGATGGCTAATTATGCAAACACAGGGGCAGCCTCCACTATAGGACATAACCCCAGTGGTGGGTCTCTCTCTCTCTACACGGTTACATTGGACAGTGATGACCCCATGAGACTTGGTTTCCCAAAGGCCATGGGATTAAAGTACATGTCTGATGAAAGGATACAATGTATAAACAATATTCTTCTTTAATAAATAGCAACTCACTAAGCATGGGGAAGTACTGCAGGTGAAAACTATAAAAGAAATGCCAAATCCAAACTTTCTGAATGAATCACATAGAAGATTAGAGAGGCCCAAGATGCCCAACCCCTTCCACCTCCTCTTAACCTTCCTATAACCCTTGCTTCCTTTGCTCAACTTTTTGTCCACGAGCTTCCCCCTCTCTCCACACTATCCTCCAACACGAGCTTCATCCCCTCTCTCCCCCATGCCTCGACGTTAAAAACCATTAATCTTAACCAACCACCACTGCTATGACATCATATCACCTAGAGCCTCTAACCCAGCCCATATCTCTCTTCTCCCCTTGTATCACAGCTACATATACATCATACAACCCCAATCCCCAAGTCATTGAATCCCCAACTCATGAATCCCAAAAACCCCAAACCATATCACTGACCACACAGAACAACCACCAGCATTCCAACTTCCCAATCCAGCGGACTTCTCCTCCAGCTTCACTACACATAGAAGGCAGCTTCATCAAGGAGAGTCTAACCTACTGCAAACTCTACCATTACCATCTCCCATCCTTTCAGACAAGATATCAGGGGCATTCAGCAGTGGGCAATCACAACTTTGTGTTCCCCTCAAATCAGGGCCCTTTCCAAGGGATACCTCTTCTCTTTCCCTTCCAATACCTGCTAACAAAAGCGGGAAAATATGTTTGTGGTGACTTCCTCCACCGTTTGCAAGACAAGACTATGGATCGACAGGAGCAAAATCCGGGGTCATGCATGGCACAAATACACCTTCAAGTGCCACCTTCAAGGCCACAGGAGACAGCTATGGCGAATTCCATAGTGTGGACTGGAAATTCCTTAGCCAACTAAATTAGGGTATTACATCCTAACACAAACCATCCCATCCAAACCTTATTCCGAAAGCAATTTTTCTCAAAATCCGAAACCTAGGATATTACATCGACATCCTCTCCCAACAATCCAATCCCAAACCAGAGAATCCCACTGAAGCACCCCAAACCATTTTACAGGGACCACAAACACCGAACTTACAGACTGAAAATGGAGGGCAGTACTCATACTAATGGGATCGCTGACGTGGCAAAGAGAAATCAAAGATGTTCAAATGGAAAATTTGTGACCCAACAATTGAAAAGTTTAAGATACATCAATTATTATTATAATTTCCTGGAGAAATTTCAGTTAATAAAATTTAGGAGATAGATTCCTCTTTACATTTATACTTTTTTCTTCAGTCTCCACTCTTCCTTCCCCTTGAGGCTTGTTTTTTTTTTTTGTCATTTGTTAGAACTTCAGTCAATTAAAGAGCTGATTTGTGAAGAATCAAACCTAATTTGCATCACAGAGAGGGATGGATTTTAGCTACCATGCAGATTAGGAGAGAGAGAGTCCAAAACAGCAAGCAAAATATATAAAATATGAAGAAACAAAAAAAAACACGGAATCTCACTGACTTCACCGAAAACCCGAAAATCCAATGACCAGAAAGAGAGATAAACCCAGATCACTATTTTCCACAAATAGGGTAGAGAGAGAGAGGAGAGAGAGTACCTGGCAAATGTCACACTTGGGCATTTGAGAAGAAGAATTCATAAGGCTCACCCTCTGATGCTTCCCAGCAAGCTTGTTCGCAGCATGGACCTTCTCATCACAGCTCAAACAGAGCGCCGCCTCATCTGCACAGCACATTACAGCGGCCTCTGCAATCTCGCAAACATTACACTGTATCTTCATCTTCTCTGCACCAAAAACCCTAAAACCAGCAGCAAAAAAATTAGCAATTTATTTCCTTTCTTCCTCTTGAAGTCTCCGAGAGTTTCAGAGAGAGAACAAAATGGCCTGGGAATTTTAGGGAGAGACAACAGGGATTATTGGGTGCACTGGACCGAGGCGGTAAAATCCCAGAGGTTCCGCAAGTCAACAGGTAGGGTTTTTTAAGGGTTTTTGATGTTTTTAAGACATGTGTTACACTACTTGCTTAGATACTGTGGTTTTATGATTACTGCAAAATATTAAATAGGACGTATATCATGCTCTCTCGGGAGCAGAGTTTATTCTTGCTCCCCGGTTAGAATATTGATTTGGAATATATTTTTTAAATCTTAAATTTTAGGAATCACTTAAGAGGTTATATCCCCAAAATTAAGATTTCTAAAATTAATTCTAAGTACGATTTTACCCCGATAGAATAAGCGTACACTCTACTCCCTAGGGAATATAATATCTTTGAATACTTCCTCATGATTATTATGAGTGTTTTGATAAACTATTATTTTTCTTCCACTTGGCAACCCTCGTCTCTTTCCTTGAGGGTTTGTGGGAGAAAAATTTATCAGCAGGTCCCATAATAATTTATTTCTGAAATAGAAATCCTAATTTTTAGATAATATACACTCTTTAACCTTCAGCTTATTAATCTATAAAAATAAACAAATTTTTAAAAGTAAAAATCATATTTTTTGAAAAACTATTTGAAGCATTGATTTTAATTTTTTACGTTTTTTTTTAAAAGACAATTATTTGTACTATAGTAATAATAAGTCTGGGCTTGGACACACCAAACAATTATCCATTCTTTAAAATGAATGCTACCCCACGAATGACAAGGTTGGGTGCATGCTACCCCACTGATGATAAGGCTGGGTGCATGGCCCCACTAATGATAAGGTTGCGTGACACGTAAACTGTTCAATGATGTCTAGAGAGGGGTGTTTAAAGCTATGATGGGATAGGCATGCGGCCAAGTCCGCATATGTACAAATGCAGGCTCGGTAATAAATATATTTTTAAATAAAATTTAATTTTAATTTTAAAAAAATATATAACTTTTAATATAAAAATCATGAATATGAATATAAAAAAACAAATAAATTTTAAAAAATATAAATAATAATCATGTTAAAAATATTTGAATCATTAATTACAATTGTTTTTACATAGACCACCTATTTGTATCTTTACTTTTGAAATTGATGCTTTATACCCTGGACCGTATATGCCTCTGGATCGTATATTGTACAAATACAATCCAGCCCTTACAAAACGATTGTTCTTAAATCTAACCACCAATGTCTAGTCAAAAGATTGATATGTTAAGAGGAATAATCAAATTTTTTTGCGAATGGTACTGTTAAGTGATGCGACGTGTGTTTCAGTGCAAGCGTGTGAATGGAGATCGATGCTTTTGGTTTAATTGATGAAGGCAACGAAAGCGATCGTTTGGTTGCATTTCATTATCAGATCACTGTGTCTTTCTCGGGTGTATATTGTTTGTCACCGGGTGGTTATTTTCTGCGGTAGAAGTGAGACGCACCACAAAAGTCTATTTTAAAAGCTTCTAATTAATCATCTTCACCTACCACAAAAGTCTATTAAAAAAATTTCAAATTGATTATCTTGACCTACTCCAAATTATATTTTGATTGCGAGATTAAGTATTAAAAATAATGTATTTTACAACAAATTATCAATAAATTTATTTTTCAAGATTTTCAAGTATTTACAATTTTACTCGATTTTTTTAACTTTCATTTCACATTCGGATGTGAAACAAAACTTTCAAGCAATAATAAGTTGCTGAATCTTTTAGCAAGGTTTGGAAGTTTGGCGAACTTCGGTTGTTTAGGGAAGATGCTTTACATAAACCGCACCAATAAATGGTGATTTATATGGATTTTTTATTTTTGTTCTCATTTTATTTTTAACTTTAACTTTCAAACCACCAAAAACACAAACATTAGTGATTTGAAAGTCCTCATTGCAAATTGTACATTATATTATTTTTTTAATGCAAGAGCTTGTTTTGCGTCAATTTCTTAGTAAAAATGACTTCTTAATGAAATATGTTGTGTACTTTCTCTTCCTTCCCTTGATTTTGGTTTTTCTTGAAATATTTTACAAATCTCTTGCTTTTTTTTTATTATTTGGCAAAATCTTTATTTTCTAAGTAATATTTTTACAATTTATGGGAAAATAAAATCTCAATAAAATAACGTCTAAAGTCTCGTATAGTAAAAGACGTATTTGAAGAAAGACGGGGTGAAAACTGAGTACGGACAGCTACGACTCAGCAATTGACGCGTGTGAAAGAGCGTGGTGGAGAGTAATAACACGTGGGAGATCAGCACAATCGCTACCGTAGCCTCTAAGGTAGGACGGCTGTCAGATGAATTGCCGTAATTTGCCCTAAGCAAGTGGAAGGATAAGAGAGTTTTTGAGCTCATAGATCCCGAGGTTTTATGCTGATTGTGCTGACACTGGCCACCGGATCCTTTGACCCCATAAGCCCGTGGTTCGAGCAGCGTAGGTTTAGATTCAAGTTTTGGACCTAGTGGCCAGGTTTGGGCTGGACTTAAATCGTGGCTAAGTATACATACACACATACACACTCATGTATATACCAAAATACTCATGACAATTTTTAAAGATATTTTGGTTAATTTATTTTGTATGAATTATTTTTTAAATATTTTTATTAGATTCGTCTATTTTTTTTATAAATATACGCTCAAAATTTCAAGTGATTTGGATTTATAGAAAAATATTAAAAATTCAAATACGAATTTCAAAACGTGACCCTTAGATCGACCCTACTGCAGCATATTCTCCTCATATAT